GGGGGGGGGCGAGGGGGTATAAGACATTTTCTGGTGTAAGAACTTTTGTAAATTTCTATATTTTTTAAATAGTAATTAAAAATGGTGAATATCAAAAAAACAAAAAACAAACAAAAACAGGAGGGGCTTTCTAGTTTGCCAACATACAGTCCTAGTGATTAACATGGAGGAAACTGAAGTAAAAACAGATACTTTTTTTCATCATTATCCAACTCCATCCCACATATCTGAATGGGTTATTCTTGTCTTGATTTTTATTAAAAAAATGTGTTCTGAAAAAACCCAGAGGAAACAGAGGAACCAACAGAGGAACCTGACGTCTTTGTGGAGTAATGAAATCATGGAGGATTCTTTTTTATTTGTTTGAAGAACTTGCAGGTTATGACACTGGAATAAATAAAGATACAAAAGTTCACACTGGAGAGGAACAAACTGCACCGGACGATGTGCAGGATCTCGCAAAAACTCAACGTTTCTCCTCCTCCTCCTCCTCCTCTTCTTCTTTTTCTTCTTCTTCTTCTCTTTAGCTACAATAAATACACAGAAACCAAAAAAAAAAAAAGCCGTGGCAGCAGTTTGCATGTGTGAGACGATGGTGATGTAGCTTCAGGTACAAGCAGCTTATCAAGGACAAAAAAACAAACAAAAAAACCCAGCAATAAATAAGACAATAACAACTCTTTCTTTTTTTTTTTGTTTTGCCAAAAACAAAAACCAGAGTTTGAAAAGCTATCGTTCTGAGCAGTGATGAGAAATATACAACATGATATATATTTTTTTTATATTTTCCTCTTAAAACATATCTTCTTTTGGTAAAACTGCGTTCAAGCCAAGACGATAAAAAAGCGATAGGAAAGTTAAGATTCTACGAACCGCCCTGTTGCCCCCACGCCCCCCCCTCGTCGCCCCCTATTACAGGTAAAAACTTTTAAAGAGACATAATTAAAAGGTAGAGTTGGAAAGAGGGATGTTGTAATATTTTTAAAAGTCTGACTGAAGTGTCAGCAGCGAGTCAGGACAAAAAGAAGAAGAAAAATAAAACCCAAACAAACACCCGTCGTCCACTCTGTACCTGGAACTGATTTCTCACCACATTCACACAGAGTCAGGTGTCAGTGTCATTATGTCACACACAGGTACCATTCTTAACAAAGTCAACGTCGAGTTCAAATAAAAACAACAGATTCACTGCAGGAGTGGGAGAGTCAGAGTCAATTTAAAGTTCTTTTTTTCCAAAAGAGTCTCTGAAAATAAACGAAAAAAAAAAAACAACCGGAGAGAAATGTGTTAAAAAAACAGGAATCGTGAACTCAGTTACTCTTCTTTCATCGGCTACATTTCTTGGTTCTTTTCCTCCTGGTGGTTCCTCCGTCACTGGACCACACACTTCTCTTCTTTCTTGGCCATCCGTCCTTTGTTCTGCTCCAGCGTCCTCTCCAGGTGCTCGTCCTCCTCCTCGGCCCTGCGGACAGTTAAAGTTCAAAAGGTCAGATGTGGAGCCGCAGAACCAGAACCAGAACCAGAACCCGTTCGGAGTCTGATGGAGATTCAAAGTATTTCTAACGGCCACCAGAAGGCATCAGGTTTGACCCCAACCAGTCCGCGCTCCCCAGGTTGGCTTAGGTCAAGAAAACTCAATACAGAAAGATGCCTTTAATTGGTTCCAAACTTTAGCGGTTAGCATGCCTTACGTCTTACACATCGACCTTACACACGGAGGGTTCTGGGTTCGAGTCCCGAAGGAAGCACATACTTGGTGTCAATCAATCATGTCAGGATGTTCTGAGCTGAATCTGGACTGAACCCGTTACTGACCCCTACAGGCTGTGACCCGGTGGTCCAGTGTGTACGTCTGAACCCAGGTCACTAAGTTGTGTCTCCAGCTTCACTGTCTGTCGTTAACTCACTCTTTCTCCTGTGCGTCCAGGTCTCTGACCAGAGCGTCCCGTTTGTTGACCAGTATGACCAGCTCGTCCAGCAGCAGCTGCTCCCGTCTCTTCTGGGCCTCCGTCTTCTGCCAGTCTGCAATGAGATCACAGTGAAGAAACCTCCATCAGAGGAACAAAGTCCATCAGAGGAACAAACTACATCAGAGGAACAAAGTCCATCAGAGGAACAAAGAACATCAGAGGAATAAACTACATCAAAGGAACAAAGTCCATCTTCTGGAGACCTTAGAAATGAAAACCAACGTTGGACTAAAAGCTGATCTTTGTCCAGGACCAGGTTCTGACTGATCCTGTTTTCTCCCCTGCCTTTTATGTAAATATTATTATCTGAATGAGACATAAACGTTTGGACGATGACTCCCCCTACTGGACGGTTGGACCACAGGGTCCAGTCCAGTCCAGTCCTGGAGAACTCAGTGGAACCTTCTCTTCTTCTCATCAGTCTGAAGGACTGGGCTCTGGATGGACCGGAGAGTAAACACACTCCATCAGGTTGTGTGTGTGTGTGTGTGAGAGCAAACAAACTTGAAGGACATTGTCATGTTAATGTGCCGCCTGATGATGCTCACACACACACACACACACACACACACACACACACACAAACGGTCTCGTTCCCACAGGAAAAAAAAGCTGCAGATCAAGTCCTGGATCATGATTTGAAGAAGACAAATATTTGTGTTGTTTTAAAATAAAGATTTGTCATAACCAGTGAGAGAGAGAGGCAGAGAGAGGGGGAGAGAGAGAGGAAATCCCCGGTGCAAATATTTAATGACTGATTGATATTTGAAATGCAGTATATTTTCAGAGTAAATGTCTGTTTGGTCTCAGAGTACAAATACTCGTCCCGTTGTCCTGCAGTTTTATCAACAGGATTATCAGGACGGACGGACGGAGGTGAGGACTATTAGTCTCCACCAATCAAAACACATCTTCTGTCCTCAAAAACGTGCAGCCACGACCCATAATTCCTAGCGGTGACTGATGCTCCTTTGATACCCCGGTCAGTTCACCTGGACCTGGACCTGGACCTGGACCTGGACCTGGACCTGGACCTGGACCTGGACCGTCTCAGGAAGATCCACCGTTTATTTACTTTATTACATCTGATCATAACTAGACATATTTGTTGATATTTTACTGTGTGTACTTGTGTACTGTGTGTACTTGTGTGTACTGTGTGTACTTGTGTGTACTTCCTGTATTCAGTCATTGACTGTGTTGTTGAGATGACAGTATTTTTTATAAAACTTTTATAAGGACGATAAAGTGTTCGATTCTGTTCTTTGAAACTTGTATAAACTTTGACTGGTCTGAATATATAAGATATATATTTATAAATATATATATATAAAAATATAAATAAATACAAGTTTTTTTACAAAAATACTCCACTATTACTCCTCCTCTCCTTCTACTTCCTTCTCTCCAGGCTTCTTGAGGAGGGGGCCCCACAGGGCCCAGGTGGGACCCTGGTCCAAATCCCCTTTGCCTCTCCCAGGAGAGGGGGAGGAGAGGGGGAGGAGAGGGGGAGTGAGGGAGGGAGAGGGAGCACACACACAGGAGAGTACACTTGCCCTCCCCTTGGGCAGACATTTCCACCTGCTCCCCTCAACCCCACATTCAACCAACTCCATCAGTCCTGTCTCCCTCGCTCTCACCCCTTCACTCACCCATTAACAGGTCGCAGCAGTGAGAACTTCCTTCACTGAAGTGTTTGTTTTTGGACTCAGTTCTCCTGAGGTCGACCTCCAAACCAAACGTGGCAGCTAACCTTTAGCTGTAATTCTGTGCTAACGTTTAGTTTCCCTTAGTTATCAAGCTTTGATTTCAGCAACTTTAAAACTGAAACTATTCCTGACATTTTTGTTTTAGACAAACGTTGAGCTGCTCCTCTTCACTTCACTGTTTCAATTTGTTTTTCTTATAAGAGAGAAAAATAAAATGAACCTAAACTCTGTCTCCGTCTCAGTGAGAATTCAACCACAGCTGAGTTGTTTACATCTTCACATCTCCATCGATATTCAACCGTCTATTGATTTCAGGAGAAAATAAAAAGTCAGTCGCACAAAACACGAGTGGCGTTAATAAAAAAATATGTCCCAGCGTTCAGTCAAACTGAAGAGAGAGAGAGAGAGAGAGAGTGTGTGTGTGTGTCACGCTGGGTTCAGTGTATTTGTCCTCAAAGGTCTACTCTCTCTCTCTCTCTTCACTGGCCTCGCTCGTCCCTTTGAAGTCGACCACTGAGCAGAAATGAACACAGTTCTAATATTAGCCTCTCTCTAAGTTCCTCTCTCTTTTCTCTCACCCCTCCCTCTCTCCCCCCTTTACCCCTCAGGAAAAAAAAAACTAATTACTCTCTCGTGCTCCGACTGTTTTCGGCCAAATATGTTGAACTCTAAAAAAACCCTGACGTTAATTTTCTGTTTTATAACGAACTTCCTGAGGGGAAACGAAGATCTGCTGAGTCACAGTCTCAGTGTGTGACTCATCGATTTTAGGAACAGGAGTGTGTGTATATACATACATACATACATACATATACATATATATATATATATAGAAGGAGAGGAGGAGTATTTTTGTATATTGTATATTTTTGTAAAAAACTTGTATTTATTTATATATTTTTTTATTTATATTTTTATCTTATATATTCACACCAGTCAAATATATATATACGTATGTATACATATACACACACGGCACAGTCCAGGCCCCTGGT